AAGGACTCTGTGACCAAAACACTGGGGTTGGGATACATAGCCAAGGCAATACACACACCAAAATAATTAAGAGGTATGAATAAAGGAGAGAAGGAGATAATGCTCAGTAACCACATGATCATCTGCATGTGCAAATTCAGACACCCTCAACTGATCGAGGGCTTACAAGATTATCTGGCACTATCCTTCTATGTAGAAAGTAAACATTTTATTTTTTAATTAAAAATAGTTATTTTTTGGCTGCGCTGCATCTTAGTTGTGACACTCAGAATCTTTGATGCCACATGCAGGCTCTTTAGCTGCAGCATGTGACTTTTTTTTGTTGTGGCACGTGAACTTTTAGTTCTGGCATGTTTAATCCAGTTATCTGACCAGGGATCGAACCCAGGCCCTGTGCATTGGGAGTGCAGAGTCTTAACCACTGGAACAACAGGGAAGTGCCGAGAGTAAATATTTCAGAACTACCCTAAATCTCGTGGCTCAGAAAGTAAAGAATCCACCTGCAATGTGGGAGTCCTGGGTTTGATTCCTGAATTTGGTAAATCCCCTGGAGGAGGGTATGGCCACATACTTCAGTATTCTTGCCTGGAGAATCCTCATGGACAGAAGAGCCTGGTGGGCTACAGTCCATGGGGTCACAGAGTCAGACACGACTGAGCGACTAAGTCGGCCCCTAAATCTAGCTGAAGAGAAGGAATATATCAGCTCTTTTTCTCTGACAGCATGATATCTGTCCTGAGTTCCTTGATTTCTGGTCCGTTTTCCTAATCTAACATCACTTTTGGGGTCGGGTCCCCTTTTCTCCAAGATTTTCTAGAGGGTATCTGCTCAATGTGTGTAGGAATATGCATTTCCCAGGAAGCCTTTAATCAAGGGACAGAAGCTGATATGGGAACCTCCATGAAGGAGGGCTGAGGAGACAATCATCCCTGAATACAGGGGTCACCCAAAGACTAAGAAAAGGAATCTTAGATCAGTAGAAGGAGCAGTCCCTGGCTGTGGTAGATGTAGTGAGGATGCTGAGCAGGAAGAATCTGGAAGGACTCAAGTTGCATCCCCACAGTCTGTTCTCAGAGGCCCTGATGGACTAGGATCACAAGAGGATCACCCTGACTTCCAACGTGGAATTCTCAGGAGACTAAGACCTTGATGTAAGACAAGAAGCTTCATAAAGTAGAGAGTGGAGTTACAGGATTTATCATGTGTCAATATGAGGACCTGAAAGTGGACTCATGGTAGCACACACCATAAAAGGAGGCCCTGGAAAGTATCTGATGCTGGGCTCCCTGGGAAGCTCTGGGGACAGATGTCAGGTTGATTTCAGTCTGGCAAGTCTCAGTGAGGTGAGATCTCTGTCTAATAGGATCAGCCTCCGTTTCACAGAGGAATGGACCTGAGCCCAAGCAGGACCTCAGATGACAATGCTGACTGTTAGAGGGGACCCCTGGAGAGGGAGCCAAACAGAATTCTGTAAATTCTTAGCCCTGAGAGACCCAGAAGAGCTACCTCTGAGTGGTCCCCTCATTCCTCCTGTGTGATCTCGGGGAGGGCAGGGCCTCCTCTAGCAGGATTAGGCCCCAGATCTGCAGAGGGGGACGTCTTGACCATAACCGGACTTAAAGTGAGGAACATCAGTGCTAGTGAGAGGGCCTCCCCTAACGAGGGAGCCTCACATAGTGGCGCCCCTCCTGACAAGCAGAGATGCTCAGAGCAGCGCCCTGACTCCCCCCACTAGGGACTCAGGGAAGCGAGGGCTTTGTTTGGGGGCTGGAGGACTTGGATTCATAGCTGGAGACGTCCCCGGCTCTAACACTGCACAAGGAGGACCCAGGGACGGATGAATATTGAGCTACTGGGGTTCCCGTAGTGCCTTGCCCCTGCCGTCATCCCCGGGAGACCCCACGTAGGACCGTACGCAGCTCCCGTCCACTTCCGCTTCAAAGGCGAGGAGATTGACCGGGAGTCGTGGATTCTCTTCGGCGGCGTTTCAGTGTCCAGGACTTGTCCAGAACCAAGGTGAGGACTGGAATGTAACTGAAGGGCCTTTGCAAACCCACTATTAAAAAAGTGACCCAGCCGCAGCCCACCCCTGTGATCTGGCTCTTTCGAGCCCCTCACAGCTATCGGCTGAATGTGGTCTAGCGTGTCTCAGGTGAGGGCGTTGGTCTGTGGGGGTAGGCCCGGATTCTACCCTCGAAGGAGCTCTCGGTCCTAGATAACGGCCCTGAGGGCCGATGAGCAGACTTCGACACCGCATGTGGGCCATACTGAGCGCTCCCCGTGCACTCAGCTCTAGGAGGCCCCATGTGGAGCTGGCCGACAGTGGTGCCCCCTGTTGTTTACTGGAGGTGGTATCAGGAAGGTGAGAACCTTGCTCTAAAGTAATAAACCTAGTTCAACAAAGGGACCTAGTCCCCAACACGATTCATGGTTGTGACGCTGAGTGAGGATGGGGGCTCTTCCCATAAGAAACGGAGTCACAATCGGGCATTTTGACATGACACTTCCCAGTACATCTCAGGGAAGTGAGATACCAGGTCCAAGCGGGGAGCATCAGGCTGGGAAGGGAGAGTTTCGGGTTACCTGGTGGGATGGTGAGAACCTCGGGGGCTGTGGGGATGTTCTACACCACATCATTCAGACCACATCCTCCCTGTCATCATCCCTTTGAGACCTCAAGAATATATGGCGGTTGCCACTGCGGGCTAAATGGGATACAACTCCCCTCAGACCACTCCACCTGGTCTGAGGGGCATGGTCAGCAGACTGAGAAATCCTAGACCCTGTCATAAATCAAATGTAGGCCTTAGTTGCTTCTATGTCCTGGCTGTTGTAAAGAGTGCTGCAACGAACTTTGGAGTACAACTGATTTTTAAGTTACTGTTTCCTCAGGGAATGTGCCCAGTAGTGGGATTGTTGGCTCATGTGGTAATTTTAGTCCTAATTTTTTATGCAGAGTGAATTAAGTCAGAAAGAGGAAAGCCAATATTGTATATTAACACATATACATGGATTTCAGAAAGATGGTACTGATGAACCTATTTGCAGGGCAGCAGTGGAGTTGCAGACATAGAGAACAGACTCGTGGACACTGGGGGAAAGAGAGGGAGGGACAGACTGAGGGAGTAACATTGAAAACACACACATTACCATATGTAAAATAGATAACCAGTGGAATTAGTCGTATGACACAGAGAGCTCAAACCGAGTGCTCTGTGATAGCTTAGAGGAGTAGGATGGGCTGGGAGTTGGGAGGGAACTTCAAGAGGGAGGGGACATACAGTATACCTATGGCTGATTCATATTGATGTGTGGCTGAAACAAACACAATACTGTAAAGCAATTATCCTCCCATTAATAGTAAATAAATTTAATTATGAAAAGAGATAGAGAAGCAAAAAGATATTATAGACCTTGAAATGGATCTTGTGTGGGACCACAGGGACATCAACCTGCCTGTAATAGCACCTGTTCTTAAAAGACTGTTTGGTAAGATAAGGTCATCTTACTTCCTCCTGTTGGGACACAGGCTGATTGGGTTTTACTATCTCACAGGCATCAATTCAGGAGAAAGGGGAGCTTCTCTGCCAGGAGCCCAATTGAGGAACCTGAGTGAGTACTCAGTGCATTTATCCCATCCCTTGAATTTCAGCCCAGGAAATCTCAGGGAAGGGCTGTGAGGTTGAGCATCTACTTCACTGCTTTATACCAAGTCTAGGGGAGGGGAAATGTCTAGTCTGAAGGTGCAGCCACCAGTCAGCAAATGGAGAAAGGTGCCCAGTGTTTTAAGGAGCCAAGGTAAGGACCATGAATGGTGATCCCAGTGAACTCAGGATGGAAAAAACCCTACTGAGCCCTCAGCACTGGGTATCCCCTGGGAGGGAGGTGGCCTGAGATATCCCTTCACTTGTCTTCTGGATAATGTGGAGGTCTAAAGTGTCTGCATCAGAGTAGCAGAGGGAAGGGTGCCCAGGCTCCGCCAAGGCTTGACATGGTAATACTAAAGATGAGCTGAGAGGACCGCAATGCCGGTAAATCCAAAGCAGGGCTGAGAGGATGCAGAGGGAAAATCTAAGGCCTCTGATCCTCCTCTGGGGGATTTTGTGGGGACAGCTGAGCACGAAACAGGAGCCTTGTGGGTTCCTCAGGCAGTGTCCTCAAGGACACCTGCAGAGGCGGCCTTTGATAAAGTCAAGTTGGAATGTCCCCATTTTAAGTTGCTCACATCGACTCATTCTCCATCCTCCAGGTGCACCAATCTCCTGTCCTTTGACCCAGACTCCTGCCTGTAGTTCCTGTCCACGGCCATCATGCCCCGTAGGCAGAAGAGTAAGGTCCGTGGTCATGAGACACGTCACCAGGCCCAGGCTGAGACCCAGGGTCTTCATGATCAAGCCACCACATCTAGGGGAGAAGAGACCACCTCCTCCTCCCCGCCTGATTTAGAGAGCGTTCCCTCAAGCTCCTCAGCTGCTGGCACCCCGAAGGTGCCTCAGGGAGTGCAAGGCACCACCAGTGCTGCTGCAGGTGCTATACCCAAAAGACCCGGTGTCGGTGCTGCAGCACGCTCAAGAGCTGGTGTCAGTGCCGCAGCATGCTCAAGAGCTGGTGTCGGTGCCACAGCACATTCAAGAGCTGGTGTCGGTGCCGCAGCACACTCAAGAGCAGGTGTCAGTGCTGCAGCATGCTCAAGAGCTGGTGTTGGTGCCGCAGCATGCTCAAGAGCTGGTGTCGGTGTCGCAGCACGCTCAATAGCTGGTGTCAGTGCTGCAGCATGCTCAAGAGCTGGTGTCGGTGCTGCAGCACGCTCAAGAGCTGGTGTCGGTGCCGCAACACGCTCAATAGCTGGTGTCAGTGCCGCAGCATGGTCAAGAGCTGGTGTCGGTGCCGCAGCACGCTCAGTAGTTGGTGTCAGTGCCACAGCATGCTCAAGAGCTGGTGTCAGTGCCACAGCATGGTCAAGAGCTGGTGTCAGTGCCACAGCATGCTCAAGAGCTGGTGTCGGTGCCGCAGCACGCTCAATAGCTGGTGTCAGTGCCACAGCATGGTCAAGAGCTGGTGTAGGTGCCGCAGCACACTCAAGAGCTGGTGTCAGTGCCACAGCACGCTTAAGAGCTGGTGTCAGTTTCACAGCATGCTCAAGAGCTGGTGTAGGTGCCGAGGGCCAAGGTCAGGGAGATGAAAATTCCTCCCAGGCCTCAGCTGCTGCTGAGAGCTCTCACACAGATCCTCTGACCAAGAATGTACAGGTGTTGGTGCAGAAGATGCTGTATAAGCATAAGTTGAGGGAGCTCATTAAGAGGTCAGAAATGCTGAAGGCAATCAATAAAAGGTACAGGGAGCAATTCCCTGAGATCTTCAGGAGAGCTGCTGAGCACATAGAGATTGTGTTTGGCCTGGTCCTGAAGGAAGTCAGACCCAATGGTCACTCCTATATCCTGGTGAGCAACCTAGATCTCAGCGACAGTGAGTCTATGAGAAGTGACCGGGGGCTGCCAAAGAATGGTCTTCTGATGCCTCTGCTGGGTGTCATCTACCTGAATGGCCGCCGCCTCGCTGAGGAGGAGGTCTGGAAGATCCTGAATTTTCTGGGCGTCTATGATGGAAGAAGGCACTTCATCTTTGGAGATACCAGGAAGTTCCTCACAGAAGATCTGGTGCGGGAAGGGTACCTGAAGTACCACCGGGTGCCAGGCAGTGATCCCCCTCGCTATGAGTTCCTGTTGGGTCCGAGAGCGCTCATGGAAACCAACAGGATGAAAATCCTGAAGTTTATGGCCAAGGTCAATGAAACAGTCCCTGCTGCCTTCCTAGACTCTTTTGAAGAGCCTTTCAGACAGGAAGTAGAGAGCACCAGGGCCAGAGATGTAGCCAGCATTGGCACTTCTGCCTCGGGCAGGGCTGGCACGTCTGTCTGGGATAATGCAGACACTTATGTCTCGGTCTGGGAAGGCCCTTCTGCTGCAGCCCAGGCTGAGCATCCTGCCTCAGTCATGCCTCGCCTTTCTGCTGCAGCCAGTGCTGGCCCTTCTGCCTCGGCCAGTGCCCAGGCTAGGGCCGCATCCAGCTGGTCACCTCGCCCCTAGTGTGGTCTGAAGGCAGTTCTTCACTTTGTGGTCAGAAAAGCCTGTCATCATCCTGTGTTCCTGTTGACTCCCCCCCCCCCCCCCCCNCCCCAGTTTTCAGTTCTTTCTTTTTTCAACAGAAAGTGTATTTAGGTTCATGTTACAGTATTTGAATAACATGAATCACACACCCTTTGCTGTTTGTCAAGTTTATGAGTAGGAATTTTGTTTTTGGAAATGCATATTGGAAATCCTCAAATCACTTTTGTGATCTCGGATGAGAATAACATCACTTTAGGATAAGAATATCCTTAGAAATGTGAAAGATGCCACACTAATAGAAGCTCAGAACATCGATACATAGAGAGATAGCTGAAAGTTCTTCAATTTTTGGTTTGCTTTACTCTCTGTTATAGTCTCCTTTTTTGTAAATGTATAAGATATATACTTGGATCTGCTTATGGTTTTCAAGAATGTTTGAGAATATAAATTATAGCAAATGATTTATTTGTGGCTCTTCTTTTACACAAACATTAATTGAGCATGTGCTTCAAAGAAGTCTTTCAGGCCTGTACTGACGCGGTTTAGTCAAGTAAACTCCCAGTCTGCCCATTCAATTATAGTTTCCAGGGAAGCTGTCATTCTGTGGAAGAGGCTGAGATGCTCTCTACCTCAAGAAGAACAAGAAAGAAGCAGGGTAAAGAGGGGGTGGAGAGAATATATTACTTTGGTTTCATTGCTAAGCAGAATTTTGGCTGATTGCAGAGGTGGGGTCATTTTTGTTTTTCTTTCAGTTAGAACGCTGCATACTTGCTTACATCTCATAGATGTAGAAAAAGAAAAGAAACCCAGCTGATGTAACATCTGAGGTCAAGTTCATCATAATAACTGTGATTGCCCATAATTTCACAACAGAGGCAGGTGCTGTGATAGATGCTTTCCATAAATACATATATTCCACCAGTCTGACAAGGCAGGGTTTATAAAACTCACTTCACAGTGGAGAGCCCGAGGCTCATAGAGTTAGAGTTTGGTTTTGTGCCAAACTACATAAGGCTGGTCAATGACAGAGCTAGGACTAGACTCCTGCTCTACACTACTGTAGCATACATACTGTTCTTCTCCTACGACCCTGAGACATACCCTTGTCTTTTCTTTTAAACCAGTATATTTAATATTTGACATTTCATTTTCTTTTTCTTATTTATTTATTTGGCTGTGGTGGATCTTATTTGTAGCATGTGGGGTCTACTTCCCTGACCAGGGATTGAACCTGGGCCCCCTGCATTGGGAGCCTGGGGTACTAGCCACTGGACCACTAGGAAAGTCCCCACCCTGTATGTTTTATTTCAGTGTTTTTCCCAATACTTCAAAATTTGTCCTAGGTGATAAAAAAAGAATGCCCTTGTGCTCAAGCTCCTGGATCAGAATGTGTAGCCAGAGCGGTAAGAATACCAAATGCATTTAACCAGAAATATGTATCCCTTATTCATTACTCATAGATAAATGAAAGAGACAATATTCAGTGACAGTATTAGCATGTGCATTGGCCATGTGAGATAACCTCTGAAGACCAGGGGCTCTCCATATCATGCCTGCAGTCCCTTGTCTGTAGAAAGTAAATCTATCAGAACAGAAATGACGTGAGAACCTTCACCTGGCTGATGAGATAGATTGATGTACTGTTTTCCCCTGACGGATGACCACCTGTCCTGGGACTCCTGCCTTCGGCTGTAGCTTCTCCATCTCCTATCACTCCTGGGAAAAGGACCCATGCATTCTCTGTAGCACTGCAGAGCAAGCACGGCTCCAGAGTTTGCAGAGATGTGGAATTTCCCCAGAAGCCTTTAATGCAAGACCCAGAAAGCAAGATGAGGACCCCATGTAGGAGGATTGAGGAGAGCAACACCCCAGAATATGGGGGTTGATCACTGAAACAGCACTCCCAACTGCTCTCAGTCACAGGGGATCTCAGACCTGTTAGGCTAAGCATAGCCTTGCTTATTTTTCAGGCCTCTGAGACCTAAGAAACTTGGTCTCGGAGCAGCATTCTGAGGTTGGTAAGGGAGAGAAGATCAGTCTCTCAGAAATGACAGTGATAAACCTGAATGAGGGTGATGGAAAGATGCAGCGACATAGTAGGAACATGTAAAGATATACCTGTCCTTTTTGGCAAGCCCATGGAGTCCAGAGCTATCTGGGCTGCTGTGGTCAACACTTTTCAACTCAGGTCCCGGGAAAGTAGGGACTTTGGGAATCAGCAGAGGATAGAGCAGCCCCAGGAAGGGTGCAGAGTCAAAGTGAAGACCCAGGGTATGGACATGGAAGCCCCTCAACTCACAGCCAACAGGGCTACACTTGGCCCATCTTCTCCAGTGAACCCTGGGAGGCAGAGAGGGAAGTGCTGGCCAGGTCAAGGGCCTGCAGACTTCTGCCTTGGAGGGTGTCAAGGAGGTGAGGACCTTGGTTTATAGACTGGCTGTTCATCAGAGAGTGGAAATGCCATGTATGCCAGGGGCACACTCTTGTCTGAGGAGTGGAGCAGGCAACTACCCCATTACAGATAAATTCTTAGAAAGTCCTGCAAATGTAATGGGGCCTGGGAGGGAACAGGCAGGACTTTCAGACTAGTTTTATCCCTCATTTTCTGAAGGCGAATGGCTTCAGGGCCTTACAGTCCTTGGACTAGTGCAGGAGGCCCCATTCAGTTGAGGTCGGGTACCCAGTTCCGAACAGGAGTCAACTGACGGCACTGGCTGACAATGAAGGATCCCTCCCAGAAGGAAGGGGGCCACGGAGGGCACTGTCCCTGTCAGGCCTGAGACTCTGCCACTTAGGCCTGGTGACGTGGTGAGTCCTACTCACTTCCTCCCAGAGTGTCTCGTGGAGGGAAGGAACCTCAACCTGGTCAAAGGGAGCAGCCACAGCTCAGCAGAAGGACGATTTCCAGATTGTACCAGAAAGTAAGGACCCTGATGACTGAAAAGACCATCCGTCTCAAAACAATAGGGGCAGAACATATTCCTTCCACTGCTGTTAGCCTCGGAAGACCACAGTCAGTGGTGACCCGATGAGGCAAATTCCACTTGTCCCTTGGGGGTCTTGGGAAATTGGGGGCCTGAGGAGAGAAGCCTTTAGGCAAATCAGGGAATATTTCCAGGTTATTTCCAAGTCAGGGTGAGGACGGTAAAACTGTTTAAAACACACATACCAGGATGGCCACACACAATCTTCCCTACTGTCAGACTAGAAGGCCACAGGTAGAGTTGTCAGGCCAAGGGCCCCTTCAGTTCTGACTGTGTAATAGCAGCAAAGTTGGGGTTTTGGTCTGATGGTGGTGGTCCCAAGTCAACAGAGGGGGGAGTTTTGGGCTTGGCTAAGAGTCAAACTTTGGACCCTGACTTGGGACCCTGAGAGGAACTGTCTGTCATCCTCAAGGAGCTTGCCACAGCTTTCATTCTTGTGAGAATATGGGCAGGGGTGGCTAGATAAGGCCACCCTATTTCCTCCTCCAGGCTCACAGGGAGGTATGGGTCTTACTATGAGGAGATGGGCCTCAGGTCAAGAAGGAGGGGATTCCCCAGGCCCCACCAGAAGTCAAATTGTGAAGCCTGAGTGAAGATTGAGGGGTCTACTCATCCATGAATAGAGGGACAAAAGAGAGTCATGCCCTACCCTTCGATATCAGTTCTAGAAAGCTCAGGGGAAGACTGTCAGGCAAGGCTCTCCCTCATTTATTTATACCAGGCCTCCTTCTTCTTCTTGTTGAATTGCTAAGCCATGTCGGACTGTCTTGTGACTCCATGGACTATAGCCCGCCAGGCTCCTCTGTCCATGGGATAATCCAAGGAAGAATTCTGGGGTGGGTTGCCATTTCCTCCTCCAGGGGATCTTCCTGACCCAGACACTGAGTCTGCATCTCCTGCTGCTGCTGTATCACAGGCGGACACTTTACTGGTGAGGCACCAGGGAAGCCCTGTATCAGGCCTAAGGGAGGCCAGATCTTTGTTGGAAAGTACAGCCACCAGTCATGAGAAAGGAGGGATATGGTGCTTGCCAGGCACTGTGGCAGATGCTTTACAGTTACCACCACATGCCACCAGTCCTTCCAGGCAGGGCTTGCCAAACTCCCTTCAGAGTTAAAGAGCCCAAGGCACTCTCAGAGAGTTTAATGATGTGACAAACTTCCCATAGCTGCTTACGTGACAGGGATGGGTGTAGGCCCTTGATCTGAGTTAGTCTAAAGCTCACCCTCTCACTCCTGCAAGCCTGAGCTGACCTTGTACCCTTAATTCCCTTTTTATTCTCATTACTGTGAAATATATTGCAAGTAATAAGAAGAAAAACTCTAAGGGTGAACTATTATAATGTAATACATAACCAGAGCAATAATAATAATAATGCCAAAACAAACGTGACATATGAAGAGAGGAAAAAAAGAGATAATATTTGCTGGCAATAAGATCATCTATGCATACATATGAGGTTTCAGATAATCTTAAAAGATCAAGGACTCACAAAGCAATCATCACATAGCCATTTCTTTGTATAAAGAAATCTCTGTTAGATCTAAAATATAAAGTTTATTTATTAGAGGTTGCCTGAAAAATCTGGCTGAAGGAGAGAAGGGACAGGTTACCACGTTTTGTTTCTCTCACGGGTCTCTGCCTGGGTCCCCTTACTTATGCCATGGATTTCCCATCTCATGTCACTCCTAGGACAGGGATTCGTTCTCTGCAAGGTTTGGAGTAGGGAAACTGATCGGGGGTTTTCAGGGATGTGGCATTTCCCAAGAAGCCTTTAATCAAAGGGGCAAGGGCCTATAGGAGGACACCCATAAGTCTGGACTGAGGAAAGCACCCCCAAGAATATTAGGTGTAAGAAGCTTCCAGAGAGAGATCTCAAGGTGAACATCTCTTTTGTCTGTTGTCACAGTACAGTTGTCAGGGACTTGAAACCTTTGGTCTAAGGAGGGCAATCTCAGGTCAGAGTACGAATTGTCTGATATATATGTGAAGCCCCTTAAAAAGAAGTGAAAGAAATAGCGACTCAGAACCACTGGGGTTCTGTAGCATCCACTTCCTGCTGTC